AACAACAACAACAACATGTTTAATATCACCTCCCCCTTCCCCAAGTGTTTAGGGCCATTCTCAGCACACAGTTGGTGCTTACTCCACTATTCTTTGGTTGACCCTTGGTGAATAGGTTGCAGCTCAGAACAGAGGAGAGCCAGCCTGTGCTTCTCTGCCCCCAGCCTACGCCCTGGAGCTCCTGACCATCTTCGCCTGGGAGCAGGGCTGGGGGAAGGACAGTTTCAACATGGCACAAGGCCTCCGGACTGTCCTGGGGCTTGTCCAGCAGCACCGGCAGCTCTGTGTCTACTGGACAGTCAACTATGACCTGGAGGACCCAGCTCTCAGGACGTACCTGCTTGGCCAGCTCCGGAAACCCAGGTGCGAGCCACTGCCCCACTGCCATCCCACAGCCTTGCCATCCCCGACCCTCACCCTGCGAGTCACTGCATCTGGGAGAGGTCCCCTCACTTGTGCCTCATCTGGAGTCCTTTCTGAGTCCCAAATGAAATGGAGGCCAGTTTTAGTAATACAATGAAAGATCATGTTTTAAGTTATAGGGAGAAAATTGAGGGTCCCCAACCACCCACCCAATGCAGGACCTCTCTAGGCATGAGGTTTTTCAGTCTAGAAATCTAAACAGGAACTCCTTCCCTCTTGACCCTGGAGTGGCTGAGACCGTGGAACAAATTTCAAACCCACCTACCCAGTTGGCCTGGCTGACCAGGCAGAGACTAGCCAGGATGATGCTAAGCCTTACTACCTTCTAGGCCCAGGCCCTCTCGGGGCAAAAATGGTAAGAGAGCACTCTGGACAGCTGGTGACTGTACCTATAAGGCCCACTTGTAATGTGGCCCATGGAATGTCCCAGCCTCAGGCAGATGCTCAATTACTAACTCTTTAGGAACAATATCATTAATATCACATGCATGTAAAGCTTTGCTGAAAATAGTTTTTTTAAAAAAATTGCAGCAACACATAGACAGGGAAGTGCCAGAAATTCAAGCTGGATTCACAAGAGGACATGGAACAAGGAAATCATTCCTAATGTCAGATGGATCTTGACTGAAAGCACAGAATACCAGAACAATGTTTACTGTGTTTTATTGACTATGCAAAAGCATTTGACTGTGTGAATCATAACAAATTATGGATAGCATTGAGAAGAATAGGAATTCCAGAACACTTAATTGTACTCATGAGGAACCTGTACACAGACCCGGAGGCTGTTGTTTGAATAGACAAGGGGATGGTGCATGGTTTAAAATCAGGAAAACTGTGTGTCAGAGTTGTATCCTTTCACCACATTTGTTCATTCTGTATGCTGAGGACCTAATCTGAGAAGCTGAACTATGTGAAGAAAAACACAGTGTCAGGATTGGAGGAAGAGTCATTAACAACCTGTGATATGCAGACGACACACACTGGCTTGCTGAAAGTAAAAAAGACTTGAAGCATTTATGGAGGAAGATCAAAGACTACAGCCTTCAGTATGGATTACACCTCAACACAAAGAAAACAAAAATCCTCACAACTGAACCAATAAACATCATGTTAAACAGAGAAAAGACTGAAGTTGTCAGAGATTTCATTTTACTTGGATCCACAATCAACACCCATGGAAGCGGAAATCAAGAAACCAAATGAATGGTCCTATAAGTTTATGTGAATGCTCAGAATTCCCAGGTGTATAGTAGAGCTGACAAAAGGCAAGGTTGTGGTCACTGCTTGGTCACAGCCAGCTACCCAGAGCAACCGAGTAGCTGAACCTGCGGGCTTGGGACCATAGTCGCAGGGGACATCAAGCTCAATTGGCATAACATACTATACAAAACATTGTT